GTAAAAAATAATTGGATATTGACAAAACCTGGTGAACTTGTGTAGAATGTTATTCCTTATTATCTTGTCAAAAATGGTCCATGTCTATTGATAACGGTGGATATATGGACACTTTTCTTAGTTTTTGAGGGCTGAATATGATCAATACTGCATGGCAGAGGTATGCGCTCTACTGAATGCCCCTCTAGTTTACACTATAAACACCATTGTAAACATGGTTTCCTGTTTACATTTGAAATAAGCATTTTTTTGGAATGATTTTTGGCTTCCATATAGGAGGTTTTATTGCATTAGAATGATATGGTTAGATAAAGTGAATCCTGACTACTAGAGAAGCATTCAGTCATTTAGCACACAGTCTGTTATTTGTTTCACTTTATACATCTCTTTTCAATCATTTATTCACAAGTGGTTGTTGGCCACAGTTTTTACTAATGGCAAAGACATTTTTGCTTTTGAATTACAACTGTTAACATACTATGACATAAATGTCTTTGTATAGCTCATCAAAGTAATGATGTTTGATAAACATGCATTTCTTTGCCAAGAATCCACAATCATTCCTTTTGAAAGTAGAAACTTCTTTCTCATATTCCTTTTATTGCATACTAACCATAATATGACTACATTTAAGTAGTAATATGACACATCATTATCAGTCTGTTTTTCATATGCAGACAAGTGGTGTTTTTCAACTGTATATTGCATATGCAAAAGTGGGTGTTATACAGAGGAGTGTGTTTGCACATTGATAAAAAAAAAAAGTAAACAGTCAGTGTACAGAAGATTAATCACATTTTATAAGAACAGAATTCAAAGTATTGTGCTACTGTTGGAACTATTCTCATCCTCCATCAGTGCTCAGTCTGATGGCCATAATTATACACATTTGTCTAACACAGCAACTTCCCTAGTAGTATGCATTTGTAGAGATTGATAAGGTCAATTTTAGGACTTGAATCTTTAAGTTTTCTTGGGTTCTACGTTGAACATGTTTTTTGGCTTCAAAGATCAAGTTTAAAGAAACCAAGTGTGACTTCACAGGTATTGAAGAAGGGTGGCATGAATATGTATTTCATTCTTCATTGCTTTGAACTTAGTTGACTTGAAGCTTCATCCTGGTGTATCCATTCCTTCTTTATATCGTAGCTATATTGTGCAGGAACTTCACCTTGCATAATTGATGTCAGTACATCTTTCAGATAGAAATTAAAGTTTGTTTTTATGTACACTTTGTAAAGTTTAAAATTTCTATTGTATAAGAATTATGTGGCAACTATAAAACCCGTCAGAAGCTTTCTTTTCATTCCTTCTGTCATGATAGTCCATATCACCTCAATTTCAATAGTAAGTTACCTGTTTCTTGTCAGTTTCATTCAAGTGCACCTAGGCTTCATACAGTATTGTAATAAATTTCTGTCTCTTACATGCAGGGTATATTTTGCACAGTTTCCTACAATTTGTCTTTCTCTCACCAATGTAGACACTTATGCATTCACGTTTGATGCTTCTCTATTAGGGCGAGATTTTTGTGTATTATTATGTGCAACGAGTTAGCAGAAGTTACTGAATGGGGATCCTGAATAACTCGTCTATGAACTTTGGCAATGACTACAGTGTTTGGTTAGATGGTGTATTGATCTTCCCTTGCTGATGGTATTCACTATATTATAGTTAGTTCTTCTTGATATTGTTGTGGCCCTTGCTTTACATCTTTATTTGAACATGCTCCCTCGGAAAGAGTCATACATTTGTATGTTGACTTTACACTGTTTAATGGTTCAAAATTCTCTGTGAACCAAATATGTAAAGGCTGTAATCATGTTCCCTGCAGTGCCATGGCTTGCATTTGTAGCAGTATTGGACTATATCAGCATATGCAAATCAATTTTATAAGTGTGTAGTTTACTCTGTATGTATAAACACTGAGAAAAATCACTGCAGAATTTCTAAGTATATACCAGTGTTCTATCAAATGCAGTGAATATTCTAAATATATACAAAGGTTTATGTAAGTAATAAAAGTTCAGTTTATAATTTTTCTTTCAGAGAAGCATGAAATACATGTGTTTATAAGTATGAAAGAAATTAGAATGATAATGTTCAGTCTGTTTATTTGGATAGGTCCCCAGTAGGTCAGCAGTAAGGTTATGGACTTACAACTCTAAAATTCAGCATTCAATTCCCCATGATGAACAAAGTATAGATAGCCCATTGTTTAGGTTTGTTCTAAAACAATTGAAACAAACCTGACTTTAGATGGAAATAATGCTTTTTAAATGATCTGCTTTCCCTTCCTTGCCTTTTGCAGATCTGCAATTTGTAGTTCATTAGAGCTTGTATGGTATCAATAAAAACTTGTATTTGACAATTTAATGAATTCTGATGAAGCAAAAACACTCAAACAAATAATCTTAAAAACACTAGTAACTGTTTTTAGAAAACAGAAAAGTTTTACACACTTTGTATTAGAATGACATATAAGACAATAATCAGAAAAGAATATAAAAATGATGTTACTCTGTCAATTCCCTTTCAAAATTTCATTTATGGAAATATTCAAAATTTATCAATTTGTTTTATAATAATTTTTATTGCCAATAAACGTTACCAATTATTAAAACAATTTATCAGTAGATCACTAGGTATTTAATGATTTTTTGAATAAACTTACATTAGTAAAAATGCATTTAGTGATACAAAATTGAACTCCCATTTAGTTGGTCCTCCAGTGGGTCAGCAGTAAGTTTACAACTTTACAAAGCTAAAATCCGGGACCCACATATCTACAGTGGGCATTGTGCAGATAGCCCATTATATAGCTTTGCACTAAAAAACAACAATAACCCATAAATAAAAATTAACTAAAAAGTTGCACAAGTTATAATTTCATCATTAACTACCTACATCATGAAGTTTGTGTGTGTGTGTGTGTGTGTGTTTCTACAAAATTGTATTATAGAAAAATTATATTTGAATTTACATTGCTATTTTGCATTGATATATTAATTTCAATAATTGAAAAATCAAGAGTCTTTTTTATCTTACTAAAGATTAGGATATTACTTAATAAGAATTAAATGAATTGCATCCAATAGCAGACTGGGAAAAAAGAGAGATCTTGTAGGCTAGAGAAAAGGAGGTTTATTTCACAGTCTCTTGTCTACTTGTCTGTTGGATTATTGTTATATTTACAGTAGTCAAGTAATTGATAAGTCAAACCAGTGCACCAATTCATTTAATTGCCAATATATATTTTTAGGTGCTACTGGGTAATAAGTGCATAAATATTGTCTTATTATTTATTGTTTTGGTGTGAGTGTGTGTGTTTGTGGTACATAATCTAATATTGTGGCTTTGGAATGAGGGAAATGTGTGCCTAGAAATTGATTCCTGCTAGCTCCTTTGGCAGAGTATTATCAGCTTCAGAATCAGTTCAAAGCAGGGAAGATGTAACTGTTACAATATTTTCAAGAACAGAAGGGTTAATCACCATATTTAATTTCAAATTATTCATAGCTATTTTGGTATTGATGGCTAATGCAGCATCTTATCTGATGGGTAAGGACAGGAAAAAACATATGATATAATCTTATTTGAGAAATTCTAACAGTATTGGCTTCATATATGTTTGTTAATATCAATAGTTTAGGATTTTTCATAATTTTATCATGATTCACTATGCAGTTTACTAGAATACATATTAGTGTGTGTATGGTGTAGGATTGTATCATGATATTTGTGTTTTGTCTGATAGTACTTTTCATTATCTCTAATTTAAGTTCAAAGATTAAAGGTACTTTCTTCTGTGCGTGATTTGGTTTTATACCATGTTTTATAACTAAAGTTTACTTTTAAAAACAAACTTAACAATGTAAAGGGGTTATGATAGACTTTTAACTTACATAGTTTTTAGTTAAATTTTATTGTTATGATTCTCTAGATTCCGTAACATTGTTTGTGTTACATTTTGGAAGTGAAGCATAGAAATAACATTCTGTTATAGATTTTTCCCATTGCTAAAAACAAAAAACATAAGCTTGATAAAGTAAAAGTAATGTTCAGTCATAATAAAACTGTTGATTGCCACAAATTTAGGTTTTATTATGAAAGTTGTTCAACACAGCATATACAGTAAATCTTGAGCTCTCTTTTATCAGTAGTAGTCCAGTTTCCTTTTACATCTACATCTGATAATGTAATGCTATTAATTAAGATTCTAAGTAGAAAGCTGTTGAGGCTAACTTTTTTTTGTCCAGGTTGCTGGGGCATATTAAATGAGAACAAGGCATTTTCTGTGTACAATGTATGTGATACTCCATGTTACAGTCTTGTAACTTATTAGATTTACAAAGAGCTCTTTCAATATATGTATAATGATAATGATTTAAGTGCTTGCAGAATTTTATAAAGAAAACCAAAGAGTAATTGTAGTGATTTATACTCAATATGTATTGATTAAACTGTAAAACTAAAATCATTATTATGATATGTTCAGAAACTCATAATTGTTGATAGCTTCATGTGACATTACTTTTTTTTGGTTGATTTACTAATTTACGTTGTATAAGTTACACTTTTGTTATTAATATACAGTATTAAAAATAAAGATAACTTAATTTTAGGCATTTTGCAAAAATATGTATCAAAGTAACATGTATTTGTGGAAGGTTACTGTTAGTGTATGTCAACTGTTATTGAACAGTATGAACTGATTCTTAATGGAAGTGGTATAATATTAGCATTCATAACTAAAGAAGTTGTGCAGGTTTGTTTTCTGATGACTTTAGTTGTATAAGATTATTTTACATGTAATACTTTTCTTGTTAGTAATAAGATCTTGCTTATAATGCATTTTTATACCACTAGACATGCATGTTAATATCTTTAATAATTTAATTGTATCTCCATACAGATTTGATTTTTGTTTCATTCAGGTTTACAATTCCTAAGTTTGTTTTATTTTACTTATTTATAACTGGTTATTTTTATATTACCAGCCCGGACATTCAGTGGGATGAAATGAACATTCTTCAGACTCTACATCCTCCAGATAAAGACTATGGACACATGAAAGTGAATGAGCCTAAGACTCCATTTAACTACTACATAGATGAAGAGGGTGTAGAAGTTAACCAGGACAATGAGAAAGATGCTCTTGATGCAGCACTTTTAACTAAGAAGTAAGACATAGATGTTTCAAAAAGCTGTAGTAGATAATGGCTTTTATATGGGTGTAGTCAGAGAGCTTCACCATAGAATTAATCAACTATTTTTATGGTTGGTTAACTTGGAAAGTGGTGGTTGTTTAACAGAAGCTTTGCAGTTACTATAGTGTTAATCTGTATTCATTATTCCTTTTTGTGTAATGCACATCAGTGAACTTGAATAACTGTACATCTAGTCATCTTTATCTATCAAACTGTGTTTCTACTGAGTTACTAAAAACATGTATTATTAATTATGACAAGAAAATTACCTTCTGTCTTCTTGAAATTATATTAAACATGCATTGAGGACCATCTATGCTTTTCTGGTTTTGAGGATAAATTAGATCCAATTTGATCTACATAATAAATTTTACAATCCAGAGAGTTTGTATTTCAAGTAACGTCTTTAGTAACATTCTGGTTTAGCCTTAGCAGAAATAAATTAACCCATATTTATGATAAAAAAAAATTATAAAAAATATGTACCTTTATTCCAACGACAAATATTTTGCAAGGCAGCTGCTAATCCATGAAAGAGTGATAACTATGTTGCCTCTGCTCTTATGTGAATCCACATTCAAACATTTTGTCAGAATTTTGTGAAGAAAAGCTATTATTTTTTAATGGAACATTGTGTTTCTAGATTGTTTAATTTTTTGGGGTTGAAAATATTCTTAACTCTCGTGATAATACCAAGCTTTATGGAAGGCATGGTGCTGTTGAAAGTGTTTTATATATCAGAATAATCTAGACAAGTATAGTAAATTTTTATGTTAACAAGTCTAAGGTAATACATTTAAGATGTGGGTTTTTGAAAAGAACAAACTTTTTACATGAGATGAGTATTGATATTGTTAAATAAAAGAAGAATTTAAGTATGAATAGTGGAAAGAAGCTTGAAGCTTTCATCTGATTGTTTAGTTCTGATGAAGTGAGCTACATTGTGATCTAAGTAAAGAAATTTTGAATACAAGAAAAAAAGTTATTGTACCCTTATAAAGAATATGTTAAGTCTTGTGTAAAATATATGTAGAGTTTAGTTGATTTAAAATTTAACATGTACAAAAGATATAGCAGGCATGCTGAAAAACTTGCAAGAATAGCTCTGTGTTTAAAAGCTTGAGCTGAAAAGCAATGCTTAAAGGTTTAGATATGTTTTCTTTAAAATGTGAAGAACCAGAGATGATTTAGTTTACGTAATTAATTTTTTAGGGCTTGGATAATTTATCTATGGTTGGTTTGTTAGAAAAAGTTTGAAATGCTAACATGAATATCAGGGATAGTATGTTTAAAGGTTGGAATTCCAGATGTAGACAATTTGGTTTGTGGTGTTGGTTCAAATTATTTTAAAACCAGAAAACTGTTGACTAGGTATAATAAGGCCCTCTCAAAGGTTCAGAGATGCCTGGGCCACTTCTATCTTTTGAGGACCCTGGCTATAATATAAAAAAATAATGATATATGAAAACAAAATAAGAAAATCATTAGCCCAAAAGAAAAGTGAAACAAATTGAATATTTAATTTGTATATATAACTTGCAGCTGTAATCTGAGTGTGTGTGTCACATTTTGGTCTGATTGGGAGGCACATTAAAACAAGTCATGAAACTGGAAAAATCATACATACAAAATTTAAGTTACAAAGAAATGTTTTCTCTAAACTAAAGGTAACTGACTAATTCTTTTACACTATTGTTGTAAAGGTTATATGGATAATGTTAATGATTAGTTTTGACTTTACTTGTTACCTTTTATAATTACTTTCATTACATTAACTATTCTCTGTTACAAATGACATTCAAACCATCTTTTTACTTATGGTTTACCAAGGCCCAATTCACATGTTTGAAGGAACAATCCATAACAACATCCTTCAACTGAGGGTAGAAAATATAAATTTTGCTGTATTTAAAATCAGTTCCTATAGTTTAACAACTTGCATCTGTTTTAGAACATCATAGTAATGAGCCATTTGACACTTGTTCTGTAAGTGAGAAAACTCACGATCAGCTGACCTTGTTGACACATGTACATCATGATACATTGTAAACTGGATCAATGGCTTGGTGTTAACACTTTGTCCCCGAGAAGTATAAGTTCCAGAGATTCATGCTAAAAGCTCCTTCAGAGGGAGAAAGTATTAGAAAGCACATGTTATTATGTAGTTTAAATCATACTTGGATTATTGGCTGTCAGATAAAGAATGTGGTTGTCTGTACAGAATGAATGAAACTTATTATCAGTTGTTGTTGTTTTTGCCAGACAAGTAAATAGGCTTATTTCTTGTTGTTAAAGTTAAAGCAGCAATAGTCATTTAAGAACACTTCTATGAAGTAGGTAGTATGCTTGGAATCTATCAGAGTAAAACATACTTAATGTTTATTAAATTTTCAAACACAATGAATATAACTTAAATTTGAAAAAACAAATTAAGTACAATACCAGTTAAACATGGCAAAATGTGCTGTTTGAAGATTTGAATCTAAATCTGCACTGTTAATAGTCCTTTTTTTATGAAGTATATTCTTAAAAAAAGGAGTGGAATATCCAAGCAAAAGTGTTGTTACTCTAAAACTTTGGAGTAATTCTGAGAAATATAAACAATACAGCACAGTTTGAATGTTCATTGATTGTATATAAAGGCCATAAATAAAATAAAAAGAATAATTATTAGACTTCACATAGCACTAATCTTGGCTGGTTTCAATCTAAGGGACTTGGTGTTTTTACTCACAGTTATCTTACTTACTTTAATGCAAGTCAGCTGTTCTCAATCTGTGGTTTGCGGGCTCCCTTCAGGTGGTATAGGTAATTATAGAAATGAACTGGAAGCATAGTATAGATCTCATGAGGTTCAAACTCATCATCAGTAGCTCACTTAATAAAACTTGTTTAATTCTCGCATATTAAGCTGTGTTAAGTAAATTAAGAGTTTCTATTATTAAAATAGTGACATATCTGGAATAATTAAAAAACAAAAGATACATAATAAAGATGTATAATTTATGTCAACTTGTTAAAAATTAAACCAGATATTATCTGCACTACGTGAATCATCTGGACCAGTGTTTTCCAAACACTTTTTTCTCAAGATTTGTTTTTCCATTTCAGTCTACTCACTTGTATACATACAACTAGTCCTTTAACCTTATGTAGTTATCTTTGTTTAACCATGCATTATCCTTCTGTAAACATTTTCCATAGTTAATCGTCCAGAGTCGAAGCAGACCTCATCTTAAAAAATTAATTTAAAAATATTTAAACTATTATTTGGGAAACAAAAACCTAACAGTCAAAATTGTTTCCTTTATTAATCAATAAATGAACATTACATTTCTTTTGTACAACCTAAACTAAGTGTAACAATTTAACACGTTAGCTGAATACTGAACACAACAAACTTGTACATGCTTCCATCTGTCTATACCCATGTTTACAAAATATTTTGGGCCTGTAAAGACCCTGGAAGACTAATGCAGGGTTAAAAATTTAGCATTCTTTATTGAATATTATGATTAAGCTTGTATATATGCAATAATAGTAAACAAATAATGTGTAATAGAAATATAGATATTTGTATATTTTTTGTACTTGTAGCATTGAATGAAGAAATGTTATGTAAGCAACATTTATAATAAGAAATTAATATAACGTTATATATGCTTATACAAGACTACAAACAATGTGAGAATTTAAATTTCTTTATTATTCATATTTTAGCTTTAAATATCTCCCATATTTTTCAGTTTCTAAAAATTTCTATACTTCATGTGAATGTAGATATTCTAGCTAAAATATCTCTCTCCATTATTATAATCAAATAAACTGGATTAAAGTACTATTAAATCTTTGTATTATGTATAACAGAATCAACCTTGGGTCTGAGAATTTGCCAAAAGCCATGATGCAACCTGATGAAGATGATGATGAAGGTGAATATGGAGATGAAACAGAAGAAGAAAGGGGTTAGTGGTCCATGTAATTTTCAAAAAGTTAAAACTAACTGTTGATTTGTTTAAAATATTTTACAAACTTCTGTGTCTATGGTTAGATCGGTAATTTATTATTAAACTGTATTATATTAAATTTGTTTAACATTCTACAGTATGTTGATTTTAATTTTAGGGGAAGTATATAAAGAAAACCTGCATCTAGTCAAGATAAAGTTATTCAATAAAAGGTGTTTCCTAACAAATTAAGAGTATTTGTAGATAAAGAGTGTGAATACTTGGAATTAATATTTACGTAAGAGCTTGTGACTTTTAAACTGCAGTTCATTTTACATAGGATTGTTCACACTATGCATTGTATTGTCTACACAGCTAAAAAATATCTTTTAAAATGTAACAGGCTTAAAATTGGATGACACAGAGAAAGAAAATACATAAAGTTATTACTAAGATGTTAAATAATGATGACTAGGGATGTAGTTAGGATGCACACATGCATATACTTTGAAAATTCAAAAAACAAATTTTCTTTGACATAAAACCTTAATCTGTTTATTTTCTTCCAATAAAATTTAGAAAAAAATGACTGACCAAAATGTAACTTTTTATTATCTCGATATGGTTAATTTTTTATGGATTATATATGCAAAAAAGGTTATCAGAATGTGCCATTTCAGGTTTAAATTTCAAAACTTTTCTAGATTCCCACCAGTGGGAGGTGGAGAGTCGAAAATATTCATAGTCTCATCATAAAGATTCAAACTAACTTAACTTTCAGTCAAGTGCTGTTTATCACTAATCTTTGAGATATAAACATATGAAAATAAACAGTTTCCTTTACTATCATAATAGTTTTATAGCATTATAGTTTTGTTAACAACATTATTACCATATCTTGAAATATTCACCCAGTCTCTGTTAGTTATTACATTGATACTGTATTAGAATTGGAGCTTTTCTTCACTTATTAAGTTATAGAAAAGCAGAAACACGTGGTCAGAATTCACTCAGAAATCAATAATGAACATTGAGTTGAAAAAATCTTCCATGTAATTATGTAAAAACTGAAGAACATTTATTGCTATTACATTACAATGATACTCCTCAAAACTTGTTTGAAACATCAGAACTAAGTTTGATTTCATTTTTGTATTTTCAGCAAAAAGAAAAGCATTTGAATACAAGAGAAAAATCCACTACAATGAGTTTTATGCTGTGAAGCTAGCAAGAAAGTTGATGGCCCACGATGATTTTGGTGATGATGATGATGATAATGATGATGATGATGAGAATATCAAGAGAGAAGCTATGGAAGAGTCACAAACTGAAACAACAAAAACAAATGGAGGAAGTTCTGATGAAGAACTAGTCCAACCTTGTGAAAGTGCAGAAACCTCATTGTGATAAACTGAATCATGACAGGTGTAAAATAGTGTATGATACTGTCTGCAGTGATCAATTTTCTTGAGTTGCCATGTTTATGAGATGGA